ATGTTTTAAGGGTAAAATTTTAAAATTTAAATTAATTTATAGGTTTAAAGAATGGTTACAAGAAAATGAAAATAAAGGTGTTAAAACGTAATATTTTAAACCACAAGGAAGGAGAGTTTTATAGACCGAAATCTGGAGATAGGTCTCTGAAATTATCCCATGTTTTAAAAGTCCTTATGGAAAAAAGCTACTTTTGTAGTTGGCATAATACATAAGTGTGTCCTTAAATTTGACATCTACGTCTTTCAACTTTTGGATATGATACAAATAGACATTTAAATTTGTATAAAATTGAACTAGTAGACACACATCGTACAAGACATAATACGTAGAACGCCACGCAACATGCCACATAGGACACAATTGACAAGTTATAGTTTCTTAAAAACAAACTAAAAGACACATTTATGTATTATGTCTCAGTAGTTTCTTATTCACGCAACGACTCAAAAGAACTTATCTTTTTACCTAAAAGCTTGGTAAAAAAAAATTTAACTCTCTAAAATAAACATTTTTTGAAAGGAAAAAAAAAAGACTTTTAGAAAAGCTTAACCAAACAGACTATAGAAAACTTACTCGTTAAAACCCGCAAAGAGTTGAAAAGTGAGGATTCTGCAGGTTGCAAAGTTGATTTTTCATACTTCTCTTTTGAACCAAATATGACACATATTCCCCACATAATAGTAAGATTAAAGACTGTGGCTCCAACATTAGTGCTTACTCCTGTGGAGACTTGATTTTGAGCTTTATCTTTACTAGTAAAAACTCCAGATGCTATAATTAAAAAAAAATAGTATTATTAGTATCATAAAACTAAGAAAAAACTATTCGGTCAAACAACCCAAAGATACTCTTAACATGTTAGATACTGTCCGTTTTGAATCAAAATTGTACATTTTTTTCTTCGAAGTCCTCACACCATTAAGAGTATCCAACACTTCATATCGGTGTTGTTCTATTATTTTATGTTGTTTCCGTTATTATCTGTTACTTATTGAATACAGTTATTCTAACTTTGAGGTAGAGATCAGATATGTGTATAATCCTCTCTAGACCCCACTTTATGGGGCTACACTGGTTATGTTTGTGTTGATGTTGAACACCTTATAGTTAGTATCGTCCTTTTGTTTTTCTTACTTTTCATGTGAGACTTTATTATTCACACTCACAAATAATCTCCCCGTTGAATAAGTTTCACATGACTCATCACCATCATGGGCTAATTTGGAGATTAATTAGGTGACGTAAACCGGCAAAAGGTAATAATTATTTAGTCAAGCCTCCTGCCATCTTCATACTCATCTCGTTTAACTTATTGATTTTTATACTAGTTGTTGGGGCTAAAACATTATTAAGATACTTAACCATATAGACATTGTTCACGCACCCAACAAAACAGGTAAAAAGGTAAACGAAACGACGGTAAAAATAACATTTTTACTAACCAATAACCAAGATAATTCTTGGGAAAGCCTTCAAGATTTGAAAAAGAGTAGCCCCAAAGATGCCTGTACTAAGTATGTTGAAGAGAGTCTTACTACCATTCGAGACGAGTTTTTCTCCTACGATCAACAAGTACTGATATATCGCGATTAAGAAAATGAAACCTCCAACGCTATCAGCACACGGAAAAAAACCATATAGATGGTCACATTGGCCATACGTAGCTTGATATTCGACTCGATCCACTCCATTTGAGATAAATTGATCAGAAGAATTAAGTCTTAGAATTCTGCTTTGCACCTTGGTAACAACAAAAATAAATGTTATTATCAATATGGAAAGGCTTTGCATTATTGAAGAATGAAGTGTATAGTACTGAATGATTGAATCCACAGATAAAAATGTTACTTTTATAGTGGAAATTCTTTACTTTATTAGTCTTAGATCAAACATTAGAAAAAATTGACTATAAAAGTTAGCAATGTACGTAACTGGCCCCTCTGTACTGGACTAATCTAGATTCACGTTGAGTAAGCCAACTTATGAAATAATACGTTTCCTGTCAAGAAATGCTCCATTTCATAAATCTTGATTCTTCAAGGGAAATTAAATATGGGACTTTACCTCGCGATCGTGAATAATTTATCATGGGGTCCACTATTGGTAACATATTCATTTATTTACATGGTCCAAACTCATTTACCTGGGCAATTCTTCGATCATAAACTAGATTTTGAAGCTAAGTTAGACCTCAAAATTCATTCTTTTATAGAAAGTGATCGAGATTTTTTTAAACAGATTAAAAGAAAAATAAAATAGTTAAAATTGAAACATAGTTAGTTTTAAATGAAAAAATTGTTTACTCTTAACAAAAAATCAAACACAGAACACCAAGCACAGTTTCAAAGATTACAAATTTTGAAGAATTGAATAAGCATTAAGCTTCACGGACTAGAAATTGACAAGGATATTACGATTGGCAAGTAATCACTCCAACTTCGAGATTGCATAGCTACACCCCTTAACTTGGTTTCGAACAACTAAATATTTCCAACTCGTTACATTATGTCTCGTGGACACCTACACTAACATGGCACTTCATTTTGTAAGTTACACTGTTCAACTGACATAATTGAAGCGAATAAGTTGTCTAGACATGCATATTCAAAGTTGAAGTGTACAGTTACTAACTGGTTACTAAATTTGAGTACTGTTTATGTATTATGCCTAATATATTTTAATCAAATTTCTAAAAATCGCAAAGTTATCTTTTTCGTGTGTGGGGCTTTTCCAAAAAGTGTTTTAGCTTATTTTGAGAAATATTCTTTTTCCAAAAATGTTTCTTGAAAAATTAATAATTTGTGTTTGACTAATTAATTTGAAAAGTATATTTGAAATATAAAAACTAATTTCGAATATGTGTTTACTCAAACACCATGATTATAAATATTAAATATATATAATAAAAAATTTAAAACGAAATAATATTATCATCGTGATGATATAATGCTATTGATGCTGGCGTCACAGGACGATTCGTCACCATGATTTTATTACACCATAGTTAATTTTTATTGGCTTGATTCAAACTAACTAATAATTAAATACAAAATTTTAACTTTCTTAAAAATAAAAATAAAAACTTATATATAATTAAAAACTATATACGAGATAAACATCAAAATATTTTTTTAAAAAAAATTATAATTAAAAAGGAATAATTTTGAAGAGCTCTCTTCAGACTGACGTTGTAGTTTACGATATTACGTTCGTTATAATTTATGATATTACGCTCATATTTCTCATGTTAATATTTTTGTAACAAAATTGTAATCTAATTATTATTAGATAAAAAAAATTATAATCCGAAACTAATTTATTTACAAGAACTCAAACAAATTAAAGTAGGAGTATTTTCAAAATGATTGGGGAAGAATAATCTAGATAAAGTTACCAGACATCCCCTACTGACATTTCTCCATAATTAAAAAATTGATTGAAAAACCACCTTTTATATAAAGTTGTGACAAATTATAGTGCACTAATCGAAAATTCAAAGTAACATAAATCAAACTAATGTTAATAGTAATATAATATGGCTTGTCAATGTCCACTTTTTTCTTTTTTGTTGCTAATATTTAATTACAAATGCTAGATGATAAAATCATATAAAATATATGGACCCAATTTGAAAAAAAGAAAAGGGCTTACATTGCACAAAAGGTGAAGATTTTTTATTTTTTTTTGAATTATCTTACTCCACTATATGTAGAATATATCTGATAACGAAATTTAAGTTTAACTCAATTTTACAGTCATTAGTAGTTCGTAAGTTAAGTATTATGTAAGACTATACAAAGAGATGATATATTTGTGCAATCAACATGGGTGAACATAATTATTTAGTTATAGGTTTATTTGAATCTAGTATTTTTGACAAGAAACATTATGTTTTTATGTAAAAATTCATTAAAATGCAACAAATAGTAGGTTTAAACACATAACGTAGAAGTACAACAGATTCGATATTAAGAATTTTAAAGATCGAATCGATAGAGAACTTTTAAGTCTATTTTTGGCAACCAAGGTGGGACAATTAATATATAATATGAAAGTTTAACATTGGATAAAGTAATAATCAAGATGGATCTAGCTTTAATCTCATGTATAAAAGATGAATTTTTGTCTTAATTCAATTAAAATGCTAATAACTAAATTAAACAATGCTAATTATTTATTTAAGATTTAAATTGATCGATTTGATTAAGGATTATTAAAGTATCTCAAAGACATAAACATGTTTAATACCAAATGCTTGTGAATATTGATAAACTAGCGATCAAAATACATTTTACTTTCTCTGTTCCAATTTATGTAAGAGAATATATTTCATAAGTTATAATGTACACTAATTAACTCCTCCTCACCCCCTCTTACTCATCCCCGGTCCTTACACCATTGTATTTGCCTAAATTTTATATAAATGATACTAGAAAAAGTTTTTTTTCTTTATTTTACCAAACATCAAAAAATAAGTAAGATAGTCCGTTAGAAAGGAATTAATGTGACTATTGATACAAGCAGTGAATAAATTGTATTTCTAGTTCGGTTCATGTAAGAAAAAACACGTCTCATAACAAGTGATTATCCACATTGATTGTCTTTCTGTGCAGCCGAAATCATCATAGTGCTTACCTAGATTATATATAAAATATATTTGGGATAATATTTTTTGACAACTTCAATTTATATCAAGAACACTTTCCTTCCTACCAAAAACACCCTTTATTTTCTACATTTTCTAGGGGGGAAAAAAGATTATAGACTATAGACTAATTATACATGAACAATATACATTAGATTATAGACTAATTATACATGATCATACACATTATGTAAGAATCATACATTCGTTAGCTATTTTTAATTTAATAAGTTAGATTTTACAAATATATTCCATGCCAAATTGAAAAACTCCTACCCTCACATCCTTCCTAAACAAAAGGAGAGGTGATTTGTTATTGGTAAAATCATTAATCCATTTTATTATAATCTCTCTCTCCCCCTACTTTCTCCCCCTCTCCAAAAGAAAAAAAAAACTAATCTTGTCATTAAAAGAGAGGTGAAAGATTAAAAAAAAAATACTCAAAAAGAGAAAGTGGTACATTTGTTTTTCAATTTATATGTAGAAAAAAGAAAAAGCATCATTAGCAAATAAATAACATTAATTAAAAGAGGAAAAAATGGGGGCATATAGGGCTGATGAAGATTATGATTATTTGTTCAAAGTTGTTCTTATAGGTGATTCTGGTGTTGGCAAATCAAATTTGCTTTCTCGTTTTACAAAAAATGAATTTAGCCAAGAATCTAAATCTACAATTGGTGTTGAATTTGCTACAAGAACAATTCATGTTGATGATAAGATTATCAAAGCTCAGATTTGGGATACTGCTGGTCAAGAAAGGTGTCAATTCTCTCTCTTTTTATTTCATTAACTCGTAACAGATACAGAATTTGACTCGATTAGTCTTTTTTTTACGTACATCTATATGATGTTCAATCATATGTAAAAACCACCTCTCTTTTCTTTTGGTTAACAATAGCGTCATTCATAAGTTAGATGCTGTGAATTCAACAATGAGAAAATGTGTTTTGTAATTCATCGTGACACATTAGGTTCTTCGAAACCCGAATCTACTATTAGATGAACCACTATATTGAAATCAAATTTAATAATTGTTTTTTAAATAAATTTGACTTTTGAGAGCGTATATATAATCATGAGACATCCTTTTGTTCTCAATTCGTGGGAACTATATATTCTCATCACTAATCAGTTCAGCTCAACTAGTGTGGATTTGTGAACCTCATATTCGGACATGTTCAACGAGACCATAAAAATCATCAAAACCTAAGTGTAATACAACTTAACCATTGAATATATAAACATCCTTCTATCGCAGACTTCCCTTATTGGACATAACACCTTTTCTTTTTGCACTGAGGTAATTAAGGGGGAAAGAGAAGTAGTACGAAAAAAGTGATCATGTCTATCCTACACTATGATTCTTCGTTCTCTTATTAAATTTCTAGTTAGATGATCACTAGTCCGCTACTTCTACAATATACCCCCACCCCCTCCCCTCCCCAACCCACCTTCAACTAATAAACATCCTTATATTGTTGTCTTCACCTATTGGACATAACTTTTTTTTTTTGCACTAGGGTGAGGTGGGAAAGGAAGAGTAGTAAGAAACAAAGTGCTCATGTCGATCCAATGTTACGATTTTTTTGTTTTCTTATTAAATTTCTAGTTAAATGATCACTGTATCCACTACTCTTACGATATCCCCATTATCGCCCGACGAATTATCTAATCATGTTTCATGTCTCATAAAAAAGGTATCGAGCCATCACTAGTGCATATTATCGAGGAGCAGTGGGTGCCTTACTTGTTTATGACATTACTCGTCATGTAACGTTTGAAAATGTAGCAAGATGGCTCAAAGAACTCAGAGACCACACAGACCAAAACATCGTCGTCATGCTCGTCGGAAACAAGGCGGATCTCCGCCACCTCCGAGCCGTCCCCACAGGCGAATCGAGCGGTTTTGCAGAAAGAGAGAACACATTCTTCATGGAAACATCTGCACTTGAGGCACTCAATGTTGAAAATGCCTTCACAGAAGTACTCACTCAGATATATCGAGTTGTTAGTCGAAAAGCTCTTGATATTGGAGATGATCCAACTTCTGTGCCAAGAGGACAAACAATTAACATTGGGAAAGATGATGTATCTGCTGTTAAGAACGGTGGATGCTGTTCCGGTTAAGCAAAAAGATCGATCCAGAGGTAAATCCAGAATCTAGAGTTAATCAGTTCAGAATGATCAGTACGATCTTTGTTTTTGGTATACACACAATTCGAGAAGAACCCACCCTAGATCCGCCTCTGGATGCAAGTATATATATAAACACATCAAATCCCATTTTCAACAAATGTAAGTTAGGCAAAAAGAACTAATAGCGTATTATTTTGTGGAGGAAATGAAAGGGGGATGGAAGTACATTTAGCTTAAAATTTTACTTGTTTCATATTTTTCATGTGTAATTTGTAAATCAAGGGAATTTCAGCTAAGGAAACTTCCTTGTTAAAAAAAAATGTTTGCAGTAGACTGAATGTTACAAGAAGTTGCATTTTGCTTCACCAACCAAAAGTAATGTGGTTTTTTTCTCTTTTCTAAATGAACCAAAAGAAACACATTCTTTTCTTTTATCTTCTTCTATGCCAAGTGGGCGGAGCTAGAGTTCTAGTTATGAGTTCAGCACAATCGTTTCGACTTAAAAAGTTGTATTTGTGTTAAGAAGTCCACTTAATATGTAACTTCAAACATTTGTGCACAACAATCCTTGGGAGTTTCTTGGGTAGTTTATCAGGATTCAGGGGGGCAGATGCTTCCTAAGAGTAACAGAGACGTGCAAAGGGACGCCTAAGCTAGGATCCTGCTCGTGAGAATAAATCTCAAGTAAACATTAGAGGATCTGATACACACCTGTCAAGACTTTTTAAGAGTCCGAGCAAACATAGATTTGGGATGGATCAGGTGTCTTCCACCCAATGGTTTTCTGCTTCCTTGTTAGTGGATACAATAACTAGACAAAAGTAAACTTTGTGGGAAGTCTTCTTTTATGTTTGTCTGTGCGAAAGTTGGCTATGCACATTGTGACTAGCTCACTTTTGCATTAACGCGGGAAAACAAAGGTTGTTCTTGAACCACACTATGCTGCAGTGATGCCAACTAAACTCACATTTAGGATGAGATAATAGTAGAAGAAATGAAAAAGAAATGTAAATCTTCCTTGATCCTTTATACCTGGAAAAAGTCTAGTCCAGCACTGTACCTAGTTGTACAAATATTGAATGTGGCGGAGCAAAAATGTTCATCTACTATTTTCAGTAACTGGTCTAACCAAAGCAAATGAACTTTGGGGATTTGTTGACATCAATAATTCCAGTACAACAGCATCACTGCCGCGGCTTCTCTTGAGACCTTGTTCTATCAAGTCTGCATTTAAAGATTGTCCTCGCTAAGTAACTGACATCATCATAGGCTTAGACGCTTGTATGAAAGAAACAGCTTAGTGTAAATATTTGTATTTACCAGGAGAAAGCTTTTCCGTTCCATAGAGCTCTTTCACTAAAGGGTTTGCTTCCCATTGACTTTCAGCAACACGACTTGTAGGCTGGAATCCAGCAATTTTACCATCCCCAGATAAAACAATCTGATTGGCATACGTACAAGCACATCAACTATGATAAACACATCTAAAGCAACAACTTCCAGGAACATATGAACTGGTCAATTGAAAACGTTCATGACAAGTCTGTAGCCATGTTCAACTGGCAACTTTAGAAGAGTTGAAATCCAGATGAGACAAAATAAGTTAAAAAGGGTAGAGAAAGGTCTTACAAGAAAAGAAAAGCTAAAAGCTAAAAAATAAAATCAGAAGTAATGGGAGCAAAGGAAAAGTAGCAATGACAGTAGGATCATCAACACTCAAATTTTATAATTCAGAAATCCCGTAAACTAAAAGTGCAAACCTGACTACAATTAGCTCATTTCAGGAAATTTTGAATCATTTATCAGGGGGTCGAATAGTTGTGGACAGGATTATTATGTGATCTAGACTTAGATCAAGCAGTCAAGCTTGATAACTAGCTTATTTAACTGTGCTTGTCCATAAAATGCAGCGGTTAGCTCTTACATTTCTCACTTATTCCCAAAGGAATATATTAGGCAAAATGTTCACAAAAGACCAAAGCCTTCCGTTGTCCTAGATTCTTACCATAGCTAGCACAATACAATGCCTATCCTGATTATAGTTAATCTTGTGCTTCTATGTTCATGATGGCAGAAAGGAGAAAATAAACCAATAAACTAAATCCTAAGAAGAGACCTGATAACTGGCAATATCTTCTCCAGCTGCTTTCATCTCATCTTCAATTCCTTCTGATGGCGTGGAGCTGGAATTGAGATCTAAAACTTCGGAATCCATCTCATTCTTCAGGTATATTGGAAGCTCCCCAATCCAAGCAGAGCTGCCAGAACCCATGACTACATCTCCAGGCCAACAATAAAATTCCTTGATTCTCCTAACAACGGAGACACAGTAATCTTCCAACTACAGAAACAAAGAGCATTTGGCAATGTGATGATTGAACAATATTACCTACTCATAAAAAGAGATAGAACGCCTAGGGTAAAATGATAATCGACTAAAGAAGTGTAGAAAACAATAGTAGTGGCCAATAATGCAAAAGCATGTATCATCCACTACTACAGGGTAATAGTAAATATGGACCACAACAAATATAGAAATAGTATTTTCTTATGACAAGTAATGGAACTGAGGGTGTGTTTGAACAAATAAAATCCATACCTTGCAAGATTCCATGGACTGAGGCTGAATGGAGATCATGTCAGATGAATTGACTGGATTAACACCCGGGTGATAGTGCTTTCTAATCGGGAGATAAGGAAGATAACGTTGACCAAGAATTCTTATAGCAACAAGAAAAATTCCACTTGCAAGGACCATAGAGATTGCTTTTGACATAGAAATGCTTCTCTAGAATCCAAAAGGTGAAAATATTATTATCCATTTGGTTCCAGAAGACATCTTCGGTACTTGAAGTAATCAAGTATATAAAAGAAAACTTATATTATATCAGATACTCCCAAAAGATATAGAATGCATGAATGTGAAGGAAGGCAATATCCAAAGAAGATACCAACTAGCCATTCAGGGATTCATGTGTCAGTCAAACAGAAACCACTTCGAAAAAGGGAGTTCAAACACTTCAAATAGGAGTGGGGGTTTTACCCTGTGCGCACCCAAAGGATAGCAGCTGTGGGTTTCCCTTGTCATAAAAAAAAAAATACTTCAAATAGCAAACTAATGAGGGTGCTTTATTAAAAATGTATTTGTTTACATATTAAAAATTATAAAAGAAGAATGGTTACAGAAAAAAATTGTCACTTCATGGATAATAATGAATAAAGCAGGCATGTATAGAGCTTATATATCATACCTTGCTAGATGGTGAATTGAAAGATTTTGCAACAACACCCAATGATAATTGTTTGTAGGGAAGTGTATAGACATCTTCATAATACATATCTAGAACGTCACTCAGACCAACCTGGAAAAGTAAAACAAGACAAAGTAATTATTAGAGATGATTACAATGCCCATCAAGTGTGGACTTCAAATGAAATTGTTCCTGTAGATCACATTACATCTTAACCTGAGTATTATAAGCAGACCAAAAAGGAAAAGCATTTGGAAACATCTTGGGAGATATAAGCATTTGATGAAAGAGATGTTTGTAGTCTATTGGCTTCACACACTCCAAATACACACACCTACTAGGAGGGTTCATCAACTAAAATAAAATGGATGACCTAATACACGTCTCACTGTTAGAAGTGAAGGTTGTAAATTTTAGAACCTTATGCTTTGGGATAAATAACTTGTATGAACAACAAAAACCAAGGTGCTAGAAGACTAAAGTGGTCATATATTTAGCATCTACAACTTGTTTTCTAAACAATCTCAGCATAAAAAAGAGGGAACTATAAGTAAGAAACTAAAGAGCTTTTAAGAAAGTCATCTCTCAGAGTGCTTTCTCAAAAGTTACATCTCAGAGTGACACTGAAGAGAGCTTCCAAGGGGAAGGGAGAATTGAAAATTAAACTGGTTCCCATTTTTCCACTAGAGCCCAACACACATTAAATTACTACTCCCTCCATTTCAATTTGTTTTTCTTGTTTTGACTTGCACAAAGTTTAAGAAAGTAAAGAAGACTCTTGAATCTTGTGGTCTTAAACTAAAGATATGTAAAATGTACCAAAATGCCTTTAATTGTGTGGTCATAAATATACCATGTATAAAGTTGGAATTGCAGAGTTGCCAAAAAAGGAAAGATGTGTTCTTTACAAACAAATTGAAACAGAGGGACTATTTAATAGGAACTAAAATTACTATATATATATATACACACACACACACAAATACCTAACAGCTGAAACTACCAAGCAGGACCAGTCGATTGACCAAGGAGAAACAAGAAACGGCTCTAGCAAAACCGACCATTCAAGATTTGGCACTAGTATAAATGTTGGACATTTTATTCATACGTGCATTCCTATTTCCTAGTGTTAAATCTTCAAAGATTTAGGCAATTGAACTTTTCAACCTTTTATTGCATAGCCATAGACAACTAGTATAAATGTTGGACATTTTATTCATACGTGCATTCCTATTTCCTAGTGTTAAATCTTCAAAGATTAAGGCAATTGAACTTTTCAACCTTTTATTGCATAGCCATAGACGATAAGCAAATTCTCCACCAATGCATTAGCTTACCCCATAGGGTGACTAGGTTCAAACTCTTTTAGTGCTAGGCAATCCAGAGATAAATATTGGAGAATTTAATGGTTGTGAATTAATCAAATCAGCAAAGCAAAGCACAACACGGTGAAACAATACTTACCAAATGCATCTATCTCTTGATAATTGTCCACAACTACTAAATCAACATCAACCCCAATGATAAGTGATGTCTATTCGACTAACTCATGACTAACTAGTGCCTCAAGGCAAAGGAGCTAACTTAGTTATCTTTATATGATACTTTTTGATGAAGTATCTGTTGTATGATATACATTTCATTAGCCTTAAAGCTGATGCAAGAAACAGAAAATGCAGAGAACATGGAGTTACCATTTGGGAGTGAGTCAGAAAAACCTCCCATGTGTTTGTTGCTGTTTCCTTCCACCCTTCAAACTTCACATTGTCAAGTTTCTCAGCATCAATCTGCAATTTGTAAGCAGGTACTCTCTCACTCAGCCAAGAAATAAATTCAGGGCCTCCAATTTGTTCCAGTTTGAAGTATGTAGTTGAAGTTAACCAATTGCCCATCCATCTTCCCTCCCTTGGTCTGTAATTCGCCCTTTCGGAAGAAAATTTCTGGAGCAAAACATTGGCATTTGCAACTATCTCATATTCCATTAAGTTGTATAGAGTAACAGAGGAATCTTTTGAGACAATGCTTTTATGTGTGTCAAACCAACGGAAAAACTTCTTTGGGGCTCCACCAGGAGTTCCATTAAAGAAATGTTTTTTTGTGCTTTCGAGAGCAGAAAGACAAATAACTTCTGCAATAACAGAAATGACTCGTTCATCTGATGACTTGATAGCAAAAGATGGAGGTACCTGCTGATAGGAAAGGAATAACAGAACTCAACCTATCAGTATCATGTAGCACCTGCAAGGCAAAAATTATAAATCTGACATTATAAAAGAGCATAATGACAGAATTACAAGATAAAAAGATAGAAACATTAAAAAAGCTCCCCACCTCTCTTGGTGTTTCAAGATCATCCATATTCCTTTCTGTTCCTGGTATAAAAAGTACTAGATCAAAGTTCCAAAGATGTTGCAGCGTTACTTGTCTAAATGTCATAGCAAGTATATTTGTAGACGTCGTGCCGGAAAGCATCTCTTTAGTTATGGTACTTCTAAGCTTATGAGCTTTCTCCATAACTTTTCTTGCTGGTAAGAACTGCCAGAATGTCAAACTTTAGACACATTATAACCATCATTGCAATAAACAGAATCAAGGCCATGAAACTGCGCCACAAAAAAATGAAGATCATCTACATATGAAGATGGCCCTTGCATTTCCGTGCCTCGAGCAGTGGGTCACGGAAGTAGCAATTTTACCATAGTTTTAAGATAGGGCTTGCTTAATGATGCAGGATAAACAGAACAAAACTTTCTTCCAGGTAGATTAAGAAAATGAAGCTAAGTTTACATCTGCATTAATTTTCAAATATCAGACACAACTATATAGTAGTACTTGTACATAAACTCACCAGTCTAGTAGAAATAGTACTATGCTCATCAGAAGGTCCCGGAAACAATGTTTCAACAACCATCGCATCCATACCAGCGGCAATATGTTCACCAGCAGCTTCACCACCATCCGCCGCAGCAGCAGTGAGTGCCTGCTGGAAGTCAACAGCACCAACCAATGTAAGTCGAGCTATATCGTTCTCATAAGTTCTTAAACAAGGTACAGATTTCTCATCTCCGTCGAAATCAGCTACTGCCTCGAGAATATTTTCCTCCGTCATCGGCTTAAACGGCTTCTGCTGCGCCGAGCATGAAATGGAACGGCGACGGTTTCTGTAAAGTGTGAAGTGTAAGTTCCGGATGAACAAAGGACATTTTCTGATTGCGGAATTGGTTTCCGGTGAGATTGAATTGGCCGGAGAGTTAATGAGAGTAAGTGTGAACGCCATTGTTGAGGGGTTTCAGATTGCTAGGGTTTATTTCAAATTCGGCGCTTTCTGGCGGGTACTCCGTAATTGGGGCTCCGACTTTCGAGTGTGAATAAAACGGGTGATTTGCAAGAATGACCCACAAGGGATTCTTTTAGCTTCTTTCGTCCTTTTCAATTTTCGAGATTCAAACACGTTTTGTTATAATTATAATTAATTTTATAATTTTTTTTAAATATTTTAAATTATCAATTATTATAACGTATAATAATTATTTACCTTATTTACAAAAAAAGTTAATTTTATTTCAAAAGTTTTTTAAAAAAAATAATTTGATTATCGATATTTAAATGGTGCCACATCAATTGGAAAAGATGGAATAGTAAAAAAAAAATGCTTTCCTCTTAATATAATAATAAGTAATGATTAAAAACACATTTGAAAATTATATTTTTACAAGTTTTATATCTAAACTATCTTGTGTTCACGTTTTCTAATTAAGCTCAGAGCGTTTAAATTCTGAATTTCTTGTTATTTTATATCGATTCTTTGTAATGATCTCTAACACAAATAGGACCATTTTTTGGTTTCAAAGTTGATGAATTAGCAGAGCTTTTGTGCTACCAATTGCATAGTTCTTGCAAACATATGTTACATAATCTACCTTTTAAACACACACAATTGTTTACATTACTTCAAATAACCATAGAACAGAACTAATGATACTTTGTACAAGCTTCAAGGACATAAACTTCACATAACTAATCGATCGATAGGTACTCTACTACTCGTAGTTCCCTCGAGTTTCTGGTATGGCTGCTTTCGATTTACAGATGATCGATGCTTATGCAATTCCTTCGTGTTCTTATCGAGGTAATGGAGTAAGAAAACCATACCTATCGACGTAGCAAACATAGGAATAGGACCAAAAAACCACAACAACAAAGGTGTAGCAAAATAAAGTGATCTAAGTCCTAGTGACCAAAAATCACCTCCCCTGATCACAGCCAGTTCAACGTAGCTAATCGGTATATCAGTATCAGGCGTACTGATTAGGTAATTCGCGTGAATGAAGCACCTCGATGATTGAACAAAGCACGAAAATGCAAGCATGAAGCAGAGAAGTAGGCTAATGAATTTGATGGACATTGTTTCTAGTCTTGTGTCACCATATATTAGTTCACTACTAAAAACACTATTGTTAGCCATCCAAGCTCCAATAAGAAAACTTAAACTTAGTGAGACAGATGCTAAGAATGTTGCTCCAGAGAGACTAGATCCTAGAACAGTTAGAGCTGTAACAATGTTGTTTTTATCATCCTGCAAGAATTCAAACACAAGACTTAATCAAATGTAACAATTGTCTATCGGAAATAGACTCTAGCTACTATACCTTTAAGGTAGGGTAACGTCTGTGTATACTCTACCCTCTCCAAACTTATTTTGATAGGACTACACTGGACATGTTGTTGGTGTCTTTCGAGGTAACGATTGAGAGAATACATTGATAATTCGTAATTACTATATATAATGGCGGAATCAGAAATCCTAGATTCAAGAAAAATGAGAAACATGTTAATCGAGCTGTCCTTATGTTGAGGACAATAGCGGAGCCGGGAATATTACAAAGGATGTTCAGAAATAACAACTTGTTATGCTAAAGGGTGTCCAAAACATGTTATATAATCATTTCGTATATCATTTTACTTATATATATGGTAGTTTTTTTCCGACAAAGGGTGTTACCACTATGTGGCTACGCCACTAGTCGAGGAGATTCAACAGTTTATATATACGTAAAAGACCCAAGTGGCGAGGGTTTGGAAATGGTGGTATATGCGCAGCCTTAATTACCCCTAGTCTAAGGAGACAGAGACTAGAGATGTTCCCGATAGACAGTCAGCTCAAATAAAGCATAACGTGGCACTACTAGCATAATCATAAATTAAAGTTTTCACATGGAAAGTATGTTGTAATGATCTTATTGATAAAGTGGAAAGAGATGAGCAACAATAACTATATCTCAGTTCCAACGTCTTTCATTTTAACGTATTTCATATCATCATCGTACTAAAACAACATGAAAAGTGAAAACAAAGAATCAAAATTAAAACTGAAATATGTTGTTTAAACTTACCAACATAATTTTTTCAACCCAAGCTCTTTTGTCATTATTTTCAAATCCCATAACAGTAGTATGAGGAACTTTTAGGTATCTATAGAGCAAATGAAGATGATAAACAAACATAATAATTAAGCCAATTGGTACCAAGAACAAATCAAGGTACTCTTTTTGGAAAACCATTATAATTTTCTTCTCTTCTAATGTGAAAAAAAAGTTGAATAATTTCAATCATAATATTGTTGTACAAAAATTGTTGCTTCAAAGTAATTAAATGGCATCTTTTGTTAGTATATTTATTAAGCAATCCCTTAACTTAACTTAGATGTGTTGGAAATAACTACTTGCAAATGTGAAATTCAAGAATCAATAATCCATACATGTCATACTAAAATTGGAAGCAATTTGATAAGAAAGTATTGTCGCTTGGTTTAATATCAAATCGAACCAAAAATCAAATCAAATCGTAAATCAAATAAAAAAAAACACTAATAGTTAGGTATTGGGAAAAAAAATCAACTATATTTTGTCTGGTTTGATTTTAACTAAAAAAAAAATTCAACCCTACACAAAACCAATTTGACATTCTATATTAAAATTTTATTTCACGTAAAAATATTTATTTTGATATAACTTCTTAATATTTGTTTTATTTTTCCATAGGTTTTACCTTTGATCATATTAGTTCAAGTTTGAAACTTAGAATTTTGAATGGTCCAATAAATATTATATATAGTCTATGAATATTAGTAACTCTAATAATCTCAAATCAAAAATGTTATATAGTCTATGAATGTTAAAAACTCTAATAAGCTCAAATCAAAATCAAATTAATACTAATGTTAACAAAAAAAAATTAATCCAAAACTAAGAATGAAAATAATTGTTAGCTTAATCAGGCTAAAACTACAGATAAATTTTTAAAAAATTGTTAATGATAAAGAACTTTAGGAATTTTTATAAATTTACAAGAAAATAAAATTCATCCTTTTACACTTCACCTCAACTCTGATTTCCCCTTCTCTCCAAAAAATAAACCGAAAATCGAGTATTGATAGACAAAGTATTAAGCAATTAGCAAATTTAAAAACTCACACTTTCACGATACAACGACTATGCCTCAATCCCAGACAAGTTGGTCTCGAGTCTCGACCATATGAATCGTCACTGTCCATGTTCGATGCATCTAAGCAAAGATGTGTTGGTTATCTTTAAGCTACATTTCCTTGATCTGATGCGTCTTCGTGGTAGTAAGGGGTCAACTTGCCATCTGTTAACGCTGTCTTGAGCTGGTCTCCGCCACCAACTTCCTGCAGCATTTTTACGACTTTTCTCATCGGGGGTCGGTTGATTGGGAGGGGGCTAGTGCAGAGGAGGCCAATTTGTAGGACTTTGCTTATGTCCTCCTTGAAACAAGAGTCGAGTTTCGGGTCAATAACATGATTTATACCCTTCTGGTCTAGAGTAGCGCAAACCCACTTCACCAAATCCTTTTCCCCGTATTCGGGACCTACAGGGAGTTTCCCTGTCACTAGCTCGAGGACTACCACGCCAAAACTATATATATCACTCTTCTCGTTCACCTGAAGTGTGTATGCATATTCTGCAAGACGAACCCAATTTAGTTCAACCTTAGGAGCTCTACGAGAAGCAGAAAGCAAATGTCAACAAAGAATGACCTGTTCTTGGAGCAAACCTTAGTGTTAAATGTACAAGGGCAATCAAGTTAGTTCTAAGTTGCTCGGATCCTCCAAAATGTCGTTGCACCTGTATTGGATCCTCTAAAATTGATCAACTTTGGGAGAATCCAACAAAGACATGCCACATTTTTTGAAGGATTCGAGCAATGGACCAAAATTACTCATATATATTGGAGGTTTAACAATAATCAACGACAATATACCCAATGTAATCCCACAAGCGAGGTCAGAGGAGGATAGAGTGTACAACAGACCTTATTCGAGGCTTAATTATAATATACTCTTAACAATATATGACATATGTTATATTTAGGCATACATCTTAACTACAATTTGCAATGGAAGGCATAAAACAATTTCAATAAAATCATGTTTGTAAAACTCACAAAGTGAAGGATCAATCCTCTAACCTGGAGCAATATAACCGCAAGACCCTGCAATGACTGACATAGACATGGTTCCCTTGTCATCGACATCAATCACCTTTGCCACACCAAAATCAGCTACCCGAGCTCCAAACTCCCCGTCCAACAAGATATTGTTCGACTTAAAGTCTCTGTGAACAATCGGAGGAGCACAATCATGATGCAAATATGAGAGTCCCTCTGCAGTATCCGTAGCTATCTTAAATCTCTTAGGCCAATCCAACAACCCACTTTTGCTGCTGTGTAGCAAATCACCCAAGCTTCCATTAGGCATGTACTCATAAACCAAAAGTTTGCAACCCCTTGTTGTACAACAACACCATAGCCTAACGATGTTCTTGTGTCGAATTTTGCCCAATGTCTCAACCTCTGCATCAAATCCATCATCCTGATACTTACCTTTCTCGATGTCACAACTCTCATCTACTTTTTTCGAATTTCTTGAAAGTTTTTTCACAGCAGCAGCCTCACCATTACTCAAAACGACCTTGTAAACCTTCCCGGAAGAACCACTACCAATCAAGTTGTCTTCATCTAGAGCTCTCAGTACTTCAAACTCATTGAAATCTAACTTATGAAACGACGTCAAGGTCCATTTCGATCTATCCAACCTTTTTGCTTTCTTGTAATTCCTATACTTCCAATAGAACGAAACTACCCCAACTACAAACACCAAAACAGCAGGTACGAAAAGCAATCTCAGTAACCATACATAACCAGCAGTTTTACCTTCATCTTTTCCATCACATAAACCTCCAATATCTCCACATAAACCTGGATTCCCCAGAAAGCTATTCTTGTACATTCCCTTTGCATATGAAGGAGGAATACCACCCGAAAGGCCATTATTCGATAAATTCAGCTGATTGAGCTTCAAATTC